GATTGTAAATTTAATCGTTGCAACGACCTACGGGTCATTCATTGATGTATCCGTTTCGATACTATACTTTTAGTACTACCTCAACACTCGGCGAAATATATTTTTGAAATGCACACCCCATATCGCCTATTAGAGCTTCACCCTTTCCATCGTCCAAAGTGAGAGACTCAACAGGTCAGTTAATCCACAAGAGAGCTGTAAAAGTCTTAAGTATAAGTCATGGATGGGGGTCAGGATGTGATCTGCTCCATCACAAAACTTCTTCTTCTTCTTTAATGATCCTGAATGGCGTTTGCGACTTCGATTGTTTCTTGCCTTCGCTCTTGCCCTCCAGGTATTTGCATTTCCTGCTGATGAGAGTTTTGAGTCCTGTAGGACCTGTCCCCGCCTTGTCGGTTAGTGTTCGGTTTCCAAATAAATATCGAAAAGGAATAGGAGGAACTTTGAGAAAGACTTTCAACATCTGGCTCATTATAGGCTGTTCAGCCTGAAGCATTTTCCGCTGGTAGCCTTTTTTGGTAGGGCAACCAAGATCGATTGCAGCCATTCGAATGTAATAAGAGATGATGACGTAGATGGTTTTCGGGGGCAGAATGCAACACCGAGGGTATGGCCGTACCTCCATTTGTAGACTCATATAAACCCTTTATATAGTGGGGGGTATTCCATATCTCACAGACCCCCCCCCCCGGTGATACGTTCGATGGCGTCTTACCGAAAACTGTAATGAAAGTGGTGAGGTAAACGGTTTTTGAGAGATAATGAAACACCGGGGGGTCTAGAATACCCCCCCCCCCCAGCTATAATAAAGGAGAATTCAATGAAACTATTTGTATACTCATAAAGAAACTCTTCGTATGCTGGGGGTCTGGTATACCCCCCAGCCATACTCCTAATAAAGGAAAATTCAATTGCGCTTTCCCTACAGTCATCATTATCATCATGAGACCATTTTATTTATTTCATTTTGCCTTTTGTGTACTCATAAATAAACTCTTCATGTGCGGGGAGGGGGGGGGTGCAACACTGGGGGGCCTGGAATACCCTCCAGCCATACCCCCAATAAAGGAATATTCAATGACGCCATGAGACCATTTGTATACTCATAAATAAACTCTTCGCATGGTGGGGGGTAGGGGTACGGAATACCCCCAGACCCCAGGCGCTACCTTCGATGGCGTCTTACAGAAAACTGTAATGAGTGGTGAGGTAGACGGGTACGGGTTTTGGGTGAGAATGCAACACCGTGGGGTCTGGAATACCCCCTCAGCCATACCCCAGTAAAGGAAAATTCAATGAGACTATTTGTATACTCATAAAGAAACTCTTCGTATGCTGGGGGGTCTGGAATACCCCCCAGCCATACTCCTACGCCCTACGTTCGAGGGCGTCTTACAGAAAACTGTAATGAGTGTGAGGAAAATAGGTTTTTATTTATTTATTTATTTAAAACCCCTCTGTGCTACGTTCGATGGCGTCCTGTTGAGAACTGCAATGAGAGATGGGAGGTAGATGGTTTTAAAGGGAGAATGCAACACCGCGGGCTTTGGGAGGTATGGAAAACCCCCCAGCCATACTCCTAATGATAAAGAAAAACTCAATAACGCAGTCATCATTATCACCCTGAGACCACATTTGTGTTCTCATAAATAAACTCTTCGTGTGTGGGGAGGAGGGTGGATGCAACACTGGGGCCTGGAATACCCCTCCAGCTATACCCCCAATAAAGGAAAATATAATACAATGGCGCTTTCCATACGGTCGTCATTTCGGTCGATGGCGTCTTATCGAAGATTGAAATGAGAGTGGTGGGGTAGACGGTTTTTGGGGGAGAATGCAACACTGCGTGATCTGGCGGCCGGGAATACCCCCCCCCCCCATACCCCTAATAAAGGAAAACGAAATTACGCTTTCACAGTCATCATTATCACCATGAGACCATTTGTATACTCATATAAATACTCTTAATATTAAATACCCCCCAGACTCCCCCCCACCCCCATTTCGTTAGTTACTGGATGTTGTTGTTGCATCAACAATTCCACGTAAATCTGCTCAGGTCCGCAGGTCTTGCCTGATGGAGGCCGATTCTTTTTGTTGCGCTTGCGCGGTTGATCGTCTTCGTCTGCTGTTGGTGCGTAGACCAGCTGGAGGACGTTGAGGTTGACCTTGTTGCCTGCTAACTGTTGTAGCGCGATTCGTTCCGGTAGGTACTAGGGCGAAGCTGGGGACTTTCTAAACCAGTTGTCCGTTGACAACAAAAGTGATATACCATGTACGTCTGCTTGGTGAAATGGTGGTCAAAAAAGAGTAGTCCCCATTCTTCAACACTTTGCCTTATTGGAAGTCGAAGGCAATACAAGTGAATTCAAGGAGATCCAAGAGGGTTCCGGGGCTACAATGTCTGTAAGGCATTTGTTCATTCGGAACCAAGCAAAGTTTTCCTAATCGAGATTTCAAAAAAATGACCCTCCCCCCCAATCGCCGGTGGTCTGTTTTGACTTAAAAATGCATAAACACGTGGGGTGTTGGATATTCGTGAAGAAAGGAGAATTTGATAGGCCCTTATTGTTAAATATTACCAATGATCTCAGGACGTTAAGCACCCACAACATCCCCCCTCCCCCAGCATTGGAATAGTTTATGAAATTGTAGGGTCATTTGAATTTTTCTTTACTGGAGATTCCAGTATTCTCCCCCAACACCCCCTGCCCCTCACCCACTCTCATTACAGTTTTCGTTAAGACGCCAATGCGCGTACGTAGCACCTGGGGGTGGGTGTTATGGAATCCACCCTCCAGCGTCACGAAGAGTTTATTGTATACTAAGTATACTGATGGTCTCGTGATGGTTGTAGGAAGAGGGTATAATTCAATGGTCCTTTACTAGAGATACGCTTGCCCCCCCCCCTCTGATGTTAAATTCTTCCCCAAAATCGTCTGCCTCACCATTCTCATTACAGTTTTCATTGCACGTAGCACAGGGGAGTCTGGGGGTTATGCAATACCCCCAGTGTAACGAAGAGTTTATTTATATGAGGAGGTCTCAAGTACCTCCTCACAATTCTTCTCCTTTAATAACGGTCTTACAGTAGCACAAGCTAATTTTTCTGAGTTCCTGATCTTCTCTCACGCACCTACTCACTGATCTGATATTTTAGTAGCGATTAGTGCCTAGTGGGTTATTTGGGATACTTTTAAAATTACCAAAAAGCTATCAGTAAGCCATGGAGCACTTCAGTGTCCTTCTTTATACACGACCTTGCTATTCTGTTCCCCTAATCTCATTTACTTAACAGAGAAATACGTTGCCGGTTATCTTGTAGCATTTATACAAGTATCTAAGGTTGGCGGTTGTAGAAACAAATTGTTTTGTGCTCCTGATTCTCACTCACGAATCATCTCACGATTCTTTTCCTTTAAATAACGGTTTTTGGTAGGCAAGTATGTTGTTTGGGATATTTTAAAGCCACCAGTAGGCACCCCGAGTTCTCCCTCACCCACCTCTGGCCGTTCTGCTCTCCTAATACTATTTGTTGAATAGATAACTGCATATTGCAAATTGCTTTGTCACACCTACCGCAAATTTCCTGTGCTCCTGATACACCTCCGCCTTACTGCACAGATCCTCTCCAAAAACGCAACCAGTAACCATGGTGTATTAGACACAAATTTTCTCTTTCCCAGAATTCTCCTGTCGACTGCAAGTTCTGCTCCCAAAATGCTAGCTTTCTTTTAGTAGGCAAACGAGTTGTCGGTCACTTGCGCCATTTTCTGTATATACATCCATGCTACCCGTGTAGAGTCGGCAAAGAATAACCCTACTGCAGAGACACTGCATGTCGTAAGAGGCGACTAATCAACAGTGAGCTGGCTAAGGACAGATCTTTGGAAAGGGGGCCAGTTTAGGGTGGTTAGTCTGAATGTATAAGCTGACAGGTTGTTGGATTGGGACTTAGCTACTTTAAGAACATGAAGAAGAAGGGTGGAGAATCCATTTGAAAGTGCATAGGAACACTAAAAGAATCTCTGAAGGTCCATGGAGGTTCTAATTTTAAGACTACGTTACGATTTAGAGCCCAAAGATTCCTTTAAAAATTTCGTGAAAGCTCTTAAAGGCTGTTTTTGAAAAAACTATCCAGGAGGATGTAACACTCCTGCTACACTCCCTGCAATAATCCTAAGCATCCAGGGGAAGGTCTGGGAAGTGTGCAATGCCCCTGACGCATAAGAAATCGATTATCTATCTTTTCCTGGAAAACTACAACCACAGTTTCTTTGTACTTACATAGATAGGGTCATGCAGTTTTCATTGCTGGGGGGTATGAGATAGGTACCTCTCAGAGCCCACATTAGTACCCTCCCTACAAAAATCATCCGCATATACTCATTTTCTTACATGTCTGGTGGGGAACATAGCGCTGGGGGGTATGCAATACCTCCCAACACTACCCCCCCCCCCAACGTAAAAGGAATACGATTACATTTTCCTGGAAATTTACAATGACAGTTTCTTTCTGCCTAGGATCATGAATTTCGCTTTGCTGGGGGGGGGGGGGGGAGGATCTCATACCCGCCATAGACCCACTGGTGCTTCAAAAATCATATGCCTATACCCTTCTCCTAAACGTTTGTAAGGAGAGCGTAGCACAGGGGGGGGGGTTATGGAATACCCCCCAGTGCCACGAAGAGTTTATTGATATGAGGATGGTCTCATGATGATTTTAGGGAGAGGGTCATTGAATTTTCTTTCAATAGCATCACACTACAATACAAAAATTTATTGCAACCCTGGATGGGGGTCCCACATGGACACTTTCTGGGGCAAATTTTGTTCTAGAAAAATAACTCGCCGTTCCGCACATTCAAAATAAGTAAAAAATTCACCATTTTCAGGGACCCTACTCTAAGTGTTTGGCCCCTCTTTTTCAAAGTGCACTGTCCCGACTTCGAATTGAGGTTAAGTACAAAAAGCAAGGTGTTACAATTGAAAAAAATGTATAAAAACTCAATCATTTATTCGACATAGCCTCCTTAATGATGTGTCGCGACACAACAATCCGTTGAATTTGAGCTGTGCCTTCATAAATTTGAAAGATTTTCGCGTCCCTCATTAACTTCTCGACGGGATACTCGGAATTAAATCCGTTCCCGCCGAAAATCTGTACGGCGTCGCTCGCGCACTTGTTCGCGACGTCGCCGGCCAAACACTTCGCGATCGACGCCATGTAGGTGTTGTTAATGCCGTTATCGGCTAACCAGGCCGACTTCATCCACGCCAAGCGTGCCGGCTCGATACCAATGGCCATATCGGCCAGCATGAACGCCACCGCTTGATGGCCCGCGATTGGTACGCCGAATGTCTTGCGCTCGGTCGCGTACTTGGAGGCTTCGTCGAGGCATCTTTGGGCCAGTCCGACTGCGGCCGCCGCCACCTGGTGGGAACTCGATGAAATGTTAGCACGGCCGTAGTATACTCACGTGAGGGCGTGATTTGTCAAAGAACATCATGCTGACTTTAAATCCGGCACCTTCGCCCATCAGCACGTTCTCCTTTGGTACGCGAACGTCTTCAAAGGTGATGGACGCAGTATTCGACGCCCTCTGTCCCATATTGATCTCCTACACAAAAAAAATTACAAAAAATTCCCACAGTTGAATGTTGGTACCTTCTTCCCCGGTGTAACACCGGGCCAATCTCGTTCGACGATAAACCCGGTAAACGCCTTACCCGTCGGCGCCTTCGGGTCCGGGTCGGTACGCGCCAGCACGTAATACCAATTCGCGACGCCGCCGTTGGTTATCCACTGCTTTTGTCCGTTGAGAATCCACTCGTCCCCTTTCTTAACGGCGCTCGTCTTTACTCCGCTTACGTCCGAGCCGGCGCCCGGTTCCGTGACGGCGTAGGCCTGAGAATGGGATTTGGGAGTCGCAATTTTCGAACTACACCTCACGTACCTACCGTCGTTAAAGGTTCCTCAAGTAATCTGCCCAAGTACTTCTTTTGTTGGGACTCGTTGCCGCTGATTATTACGGGCAGTTGCTAAAAACACGAGCAAGAGGTAATCGGGTGCTGTTTTATGATATTTTCCAGAAAAGACCACAGAACAAGATACAACTGTCCTTTCCCAAAAACAATCATGAGAGTTTTCAAGGAGAAACTTGAAGGGAGAACATAGTACCGGGGGTCTAGAATAACCCCAGTAGTACTCTCCATAATTTTTTCTACATTAGCACTCTCATAGTAGTCTTTGGGAAAATGTAATTTAAATCGGTTTGAAGAATCGCTGGAAAATATTTCTACTTCTAAAAATGACCACCAGAGGGCGTAATTGCCATCTTAAATTTTAAAATTGCATTTTATTTAAATTTCCCATTTCGTCAGCCTGTACTTGCAGGAGTTGTAGAAGGAAGAGGAGTTCGCAGGGAGCTAGTCCTTGAATTCACATGTATTCCATACAACCAATCGAACCTGTCACCCACTGAAGACGTCAAACAATTTGTGGACCATTGTATCGTAAAAAAGAAAGTGAAGAACTCTCAATGGATGAGATTGGAATGTGAACCAAAGGGGAGTGCCTATTAGACTAATCTACCAATACTTAATTAGAATGATGTTCCCACCACTAATGACACAAAGTAGGTACCATGGTGTTTCAAAATAAAAATTTTTGCCTTGCCTAGCACAGATACCACCCCCAAGCCTGCGCATGAGGGATTCTGCCCTTTTATCTCTAAAAATATGTGTACCAAATGTGGTTCCAATCGGTTTAGCCGGAAATGAAAGTACAGATGGACATTTTACATTACCTAGTGCTTCAAAATGTGTATTTCCTTCAAAAAGTGGGGGGGGGGGTCATTCTTAACACCAATCCGCCAATGCAATACCTCCCTTACCCACGTGCGGGTGGTAAAAACTCGGGGGTAGTAAAAATTACACAGAGATTTTCTGACACTTCCTAATTACAAAAATTGGAAGGCGGGGTGGAGGTGTATACTACTCTAGCAATAACTGATTGTCTTGTAAGAGCAATTTTCTATGACACGGGGTGGGGGTGTAGGTGTACAGTCCTAGCAATACCTGATTGGCACGTAAGAGCGGTTTTCTAGGATACTTGGTAACTTTAAAAAACCGAGAAAGAGAGGGGACAGGGGAGGGGGGTTACAACCGATTTTCACGTATGAGACACCGTAATTTTAAAGACGCGAGAGTCGGGGGGGGGGGAGAAAGGGTGCCACCCTTGCAGTAACTGATTATCATGGAAGAGCAATTCTCTAAGACGCTTCATAATTGTACGAACGCGAGGGTGGGGATGGAACAACCCTAGCAATTTTCTGACACATGGTAATTTAACAAATGCCAGTGCGGGGGTGTACAACCTATCAATAACTGATCATTACATAAGAGCAATTTTCTAAGACATTGTAACTTTAAAAACGCGAGGGGGGGATGGTGTCCAACCATAGCAATAACTGATTGTTATTTCAGAGCAATTTTTCAAGATACTTAGGAATTTTGAAACCGCAAGGGCGGAGGAGGGGGAGTACAGCTCTAGCAATAACTGGTAAGTGATCGTTAAGTTTTCTAAGACAAGGGTGGGGTGAGGGTATAGCACCCTATCAATCAATCAGCCATTTTGTAAGACACTTGGTAATATCAAAAATGCGAGGGGGGGTGCGGGTATAGAACTGTGTCAATAACTGATTGTTACGTATGAGCAATTTTCTAAAACATTTGGAAAATTTAAAAACGGGAGGGTGGGGGAGAGGGTGTACAACCCTATCAATAAGTGATCGTTACATATGAGCACTTTTCTAAGTTACTTGGTAATTTCAAAAACTGAGGGAGGGGAGGGGGTGTGTGGAGCCCTAGTAATAACTGATCGTTATGTATGAGCATTGAGCAATTTTCTAAGACATTTGGTATATTTAAAAAAGCGAGGATCGGGGCGGGGGCTGGAGAGTACAACCCTAGCAGTAAGTGCTCGTTCAGTATGAATAAGATACTTGGTAATTTTGAAAACGCAAGGGTGGGGAGGGGGTAGAACCCTAGCAATAAGGGATCGTTAAGTATATGAGCCATTTTCTAAAACACTTGTTAGTAGGTATCAAAAAATGCAAAGGGTGGGGGGTGAGGGTATAGAACCCTATCAATAACTGATGATCGTTTCCTAGTCTTTTAATAATGATCATAGTTACTTTCGATTGATATTTCGGTACACTGACGCACACTACTAGATTAGATTCCTTAAAAGCTAATACCCTCCGCCCCCTCCTCCCTCTCGACCATATTATGCATGTTTGGGAATGAAAAAAAAAATTTGTTCATTACCCGAATTTTGAGCGCGGCCACCATCTTGAATCATAGGTAAAAAAATTCAAGATGGCGGCCGCCCTCACAATCGGGGTAATGAAAAAAAACTTCTTTTCGTTCCGAAACATAGGTACATAACAATGTCTCATTGAAGTCCTGAGCAATATTAGACTTGATAAATTCAACAAAGCCTGGGCGAGGGGGGGGGGGGGGGTACAACCCTAGTAATAGCAGATTGCCATGTGGTTTCTGGATTATAATTTTCCACCTCGTTCTCAATCTATGATCATTTTACTAATGTTTTTGAATTATTCAGTTCCCTAGGCATAGACCAAGAGATGGCGTATTGCTAACATGATGTGGGTTAGAGAAATTAAAAAAGAACTGTAAACTCCCAAAGAGAATATTTAGAAAAGAATGCTCGTTTATTGGTTCTTTCCATTGCCCAATCTTTTGTGTTAGACCCTGTATAAGTAGGTAACCATGGACCAAAACTTTACTTCATTTATGCTAGTAGCAAATATAAAATAAATACCTACAAATATAGCAGTTACTGAAACTTTAGTGAACTTAACTAGACTTCAAGCTCAGGTTGTCATAAAAAGTTTGTGTAGACCACTCCCACTCAATCCAGGCCAATTATCAATACCTACCCCCAATTTAGCCCCAAAAATGGTAAGCTGTACACCTGCACAGCCATACGCCAACTCTTCAGTAATTAGGCAGTCATCAAACGTGTTCAGCCCCAATCCACCTGCACGATTCCAGCATTAGATACGAACAGCCGCACAGACTGCACTTACCCAAGCTTTCCGGAATAACCGAAGTTGTCAGCCCCAAAGACCAGGCCTTCTTAAACACGGGCCACGGAAACTCTCCGCTCCTATCGTACTGAGCGGCTATCGGCATCACATCCTCCCTCGCAAACTTTCTCGCCAACTCCTGGTACTCCCTCTGAGTGTCGTTCAGCGCTGCAACCGATTTGAACTGTTAGAGTTAAATTACCTCTTGTGAAGTGTACCGAAATTAAATCCATTACTCGACAACCGTCTTATAATGGACCTGGAAAAGTTCGGAGTTCGCAGCATTGGAAATGTGGACAGCGGTGAACGGGGCCGGGTAAAGTTCACTTTATTGTGTGTAGATTATGTAGCATTTAAAAACATATGATAGCTACTACATGCTATCAGAATTGGCTAATATTTATCCTCTGATAACAATTGAATAAAATAAAAAAAGAAAATTGGGTTGGAAACTCTACAAACTAGTCATTAAAGCATATATATAAGAGAAGCATTAAAGTCACCAGTGGCGTACTTGGGTACAGTAGTAGACGAAATAAACGATACAAAATAGTGAATTTAATTAATATAATAACCAATAACCTTGTTTATTAATGAATAAACTAGAATGTTATAAATCTTATTTACATTGTTAATGTGTATAAGTATTTGTAACAAATGATACTGTGTTTTCTCATATCTCAGTAGGTAGGTACCTACATAAAACAAAAACTTCCTGTTATGACATGATTTACATTATTTTTCATTTGTTATAGGTACTTTGGATTTTGGAACAGCCAATGTTGACCTTTTTACCCTGTGGCAATGCTTCAGCCCTAAGGGCTTCAGTGTCCTTATGGGTTGAGCTACTCACAGTGTAACTCCTATGCTGGAGAGGTCACTGATGGTGAGAGCCCAAACCAAGACCTTGCTCCACACCAAATTCTTCCTCGTACCATGCTCTTTCGTGAAGGTGTTAAGTGACCCATGTCAATCAGTGCAAGAGCAGCGAGTAGGTATAATAGATGAGGACGAAGAAACGGGAGGTCAGAATCTACTGACCAGGAGGTATCCAAAATCGTCGGAGTCAACAAGTAAAAGGCATCTCCTTCCCCTAGTGTGGTACGGGTTAAAGAGGAAACTGTGGTATGGTAAAAAATAACTATCTACCACAGGAAAGTACCTGCAAGTCAAGCTAAAGAAGGAGAAAGGCGGCCTCCCCGATGGACTCTTCACCATATTGAGGGAGGAGAGGCACCTCATTTCACCAGCCGGTATACTACGAGGCAGCAACAAAACTAAACAAAATCCCGCTTAAATTTGAAAAGTGGCACGTGATCAAACATCTAAGGCAGGACCCCCTTACGTTAGTTGTAAACAACGCCATGACCTGAAGCACAGTGGGGAAGGAACGTAAAATAAAACACTGAAATTGTGAAATGTTTGTTTAATAATGATGGCAATTATTGTGATTGTAAAAGCCGGGAAATTTAAGTCGAAATAATTACATTGCAAAAATAAACTTTGAAAATGCAGGTAGTTCACAGAATAAAAATAGAAATAGGATGGAAAAAAAAGAACTTACCAATAAAAAAACCAGCCGTTAAATTAATATCAAATTGTGTTGTAAAATTAATTGTTTGTAATGATGTGAATGCGTAACATAAAATTATAACATCACAAAAAGTAACAGGTAGACTTCAAGAGGTAACTTATAGGTTAATACTAAGTTTTGGGAATTACGGGTCAGGTAAGCAGGTACCAAGATTCTAAGAAAGGGTGAAATACACAGGATGTGACTCATCTTTGTTGCAATAAAGTCCTTTTGTTAATACCAAGATGGAAAATTACATGGCCTTGTAGGCAAATTTAACTAAAACAAGATATGTGGAAATTACGAATCGTAACTCATTTATCGCTCATAGATTCTAAACTGAAGAGCTTTGATTAGCGTAATCCCGCTCCTGCAAGATGGGTAGCCCGCCCCTGGTTCCGGGGTTACGAGCCTACAGTTGACAGTCGAAGACAATCACGGAATTAGGTGTCGTACTTCAAATGGTTACAGTTTTTACCACCCCCGTGACTGTTTCATTCACGGAGAAAATTGTTAGTATAAACAACAAGTCAGTACATACATCAAATGAATCGGTAATTTCCACATATTAAAATAAAATGAAAACTTATATGAATGTTACTTCAGGGACAAGACCAAGTAATCAACATCAATAAACATAAATTAAGCAAACATTACACCAAAAACGTAAACAATTACAAACAAAAGGATAACGGTATCACATATGTGATTCTGCATTGCGGTTAAACCAAGTAAATTTAAAAAACAAAGATTGAAACACACAAAAAATATAAAATGCGGAATACAAAACACAAAATACGATATAAAGAAATGCAAAAATTGCTACTTACCTGCTTTAAAAAAAACACAAAATAACAACAAACATTTGTGGAGCGACGCGTTCACGACCGCCATTCAAGCCAAGAAGAAGCGTAGAACCTGGGGGTTAAGTACACTACACAGTCTTCGAAATTTTTTATAATTCCAACTTTTAAACTTTTTCTTGCATCTCTTTACCAAACATGTATTTACAAAGTGTGGCCTCACCTCACTTCTTCCATGTATGGTAACGCGGCCGGATAAATTGGCCCTTCGAGCCGAATAACTATGGCATGAATTCTGTACGCCACTGGATGTTCGCCTTATTGGACTTCGAAATTATTTAATTTATTTATATTAGATACAGAGTAAACAAAGATTGGAATCCTGCATAGAGATTTGCAAGGTACATTCCCCCACTTATCCCCCCTCCCTTTTCTATCCAAAGTTCACAACTTATTTTTAAAAGTCTGTGCGCGGGTGCGCCGGCTTTTGTTTGATTAGTCTAGCAGTAGCAAAAACTGAACATGCAACAATTACAAAAGGTCTCCCATACCTAAATGAGAGAATTACACACTAAAAAATATGAATAATTTCAGATCATCCGCACGGTGCATCGACCCCTTTTACGGGCTTCCTCGACAGCTGCCAAGACCGAACCAAATGCGAGTTCTTCGTTAGGCTACAACTTCGGTAAGCACTTTGTTGCCCCATCGCAATAACCTTCAATAATAGAAAACGGAAGCTTTAAGCGACACTCAGACCGAGGTGCAGGAGTTAGCACGCAAATTTACACGGGAGGAGATCACTCCGATGGCGGCACACTACGACAAAACCGGCGAGTTTCCCTGGCCCATCTTCAAAAAGGCATGGTCCCTCGGGCTGGCGAACGGCCACATACCGGCCGACTGCGGTAAGCATACCTCCGCGATGCCTGACCGACTATACCCCCGTTTCAGGTGGTCTCGAACAGTCCGTATTCGACCTCTGCCTGGTGGCCGAGGAGATGGCGTTCGGATGTACGGGCATAGGAGTGGCGATCGGAGGCTCCGGACTGGCCGTAAGTGCGCGCGTACCGCGGTCCCTCAATTTTACATCTCGAAACTTGATTTAGCAAACGCCGATAGTGCTCGCCGCGAGTCCCGAGCAGAAGAAGAAGTACCTCGGGCGGCTGATCGAGGAGCCCTTAATCGCGGTAGGTAGGTCTAGATTTTCGTTCGGTCATCGCATGATTATGCGGGTGTTTTTCGCACTTTAGGCGTACTGTGTTACGGAACCGGGCGCCGGGTCGGACGTGAACGGGGTCAAGACCAAGGCGGAGAAGAAGGGAGACGAGTGGATTTTAAACGGGCAAAAAATGTGGATAACCGGTGGAGGGGTGGCTAATTGGTATGTATGGTGTATGAGCGGGGTCAAAGTCCTCATTATTTAAAGGACTGGCCTTTGTACTCCCAAAAATAGGTATGAGTTTGCATAATGTGCACTATTTTATACAGGGTGTTTATTAAAACGACTTAAGGTTTGATGCAGTTGGTCCAATAGGCATTAAAATTTATATTTCATAGTAACCTAGGGACTTTAATATTTCAAATAACAGTGAGACCTCTGGTGGCAGCACATCATACTAAATACAGTTGGGAACATATATATAAGAGAAGTATATATATGGTTGGGAAAAGACCGCCATTTTGATAGCGTTTCTTTATTTACAATGACCAAAAGTACGCCATATTGTTTACGGCTGTAAATCAAATGTGATTACGCTTTAAAGAGCAAGTTTAGTTTAAAACGTCAAATTATATGGAGGTATTTTGCCAAATTTTAAATGTGACCAGTGCAATTATGCAACCAAGAATAAGGATAATTAAAAAAATCGTCGTCTAACATATAACATTTCCAAAGTCGTTAATTGTGAACGGTGCAATTACACAACAAAAAATTGGAGCGGCTGTTTTAAAGCGTCATCGTCATAAGGGAATCTCGGCGAGTTGTCAAGACCAAAGCTTATTAATTTTAAATTGTCGCCAACTGGTAAGCACTCGCCGGCGAGCTGTTACCGTTTATCTCTTGCCTACATTTATTATTGGAGAAGCAAAAAATGACACTTAGAAACCTTGATCCCAGACTTCATATTGAAAACCCAAATTGAAACCTTGGCCTATTACTAGAAGAAGATCTTAAAAAAAACTTTTGGAAAGATTCTAGAAACCTCTGAAATTTACTTTAAAAACCACGCATGAATTTTGTGAAGGGAGTGTTATAACGGAAGCAGAAGCGGAAGACAAAATGACACTTTTAAGTGAAGCTATATCCAAATAGACATGATATACGGACTTTTGCATCGCAAAATTCCCTAAAAGATTACGCGCGATTCGTTTTACGGAACTTTTAGAAAAAAGCGCGACTCGTGGAAGAGACCGATAAACGGCTATCGTTCTCAAATGATGAAAGTACAGAGAAAAAAAAAAAAGAAATGCGTGTATTCCAAATATTTGGGCATTTAAAAGAAGAGTGTCTCTCTTGCGTTTGTAACACCTCGTGGGATACATAGATTCATCCGCATGTCGCGCTTAAATAAATTGTTACAACGAAAGTGTTAGGGTCCAAGGTGCAAAAATTTCGTTGCGCTATATTTGGAGTGGCAACCTACATTACAAAACCTAATTTGCTTATATGGGGAGCCAATAACATAAATAGAACGGCAAGTTCAAGACAATTAATTCGTACTGTCAAAACCCTACGTTTTAAGGTAATTTTGGACATACGTACCAAATTAGAACTAATAAATTGTGAGGAACCTGAAGCACGGGTATGTGCTGGATTCCAATTCGTCAACCATCGTTCTAGATTCGCTTTCGACAAGTAACCAAAATTGCATGCACTCGAAAGCGTCCCTACCTCTCCTTCGCAGCGGTTTTTAGAAATGGCAACACGGTCGAGCTCGCTTATCCCCAGACATACTTTTGTTCCAAGTATACTATGAAGCGGTATACATACAAACTTAATTTTCTCATATTCTAATTTCGAAATAATCTAATAGACGAGTTTTTTTTTGCAGGTACTTCGTATTGGCGCGCACAAATCCCGACCCGAAGGCGCCCGCGAGTCGCGCCTTCACCGCTTTCATCGTGGAGCGCGATTGGCCCGGAGTAACGGTCGGTCGAAAGGAAATTAACATGGGCCAGAGGGCGTCCGACACGCGCGGCATAACCTTCGAGGATGTCCGCGTTCCCAAGGAAAACGTGATTATGGGCGAAGGCGCCGGTTTCAAAATCGCCATGGGAGTGTTCGACAAAACGAGGCCTTTGGTAATATCCGCGTAGGCGATCGCTTGTGCATCACCGAGTATTTCGCAGGTGGCGTCCGGAGCGACTGGTCTCGCGAATCGCGCCCTGTACGAGGCGAGCAAGTACGCCACGGAACGGAGGACGTTCGGCGTGCCGATCGCCAGTCACCAAGCCATAGCGTTCATGCTAGCCGATATGGCGATCGGCGTGGAGACATCGCGCCTGCTGTGGATGAAATCGGCGTGGATCGTCGATCAAGGTCAACGAAACTCGTACGAGGCCTCCATCGCCAAGTGTTTTTCCGGCGACGTTGCGAATAAAAACGCGGCGGACGCGGTGCAGATCTTCGGCGGGAACGGCTTCAATACCGAATATCCCGTAGAGAAACTGATGCGAGACGCGAAGATTTATCAGATTTACGAGGGCACCTCACAAATTCAACGGCTGGTTATTTCGCGCCATCTTCTGGACTCGATTAAAAAGTCAAATTAACAACACCAGATAAGATTCCCTATTAATTTTGACTTCTGACCAACCAATGAATATGTTTATTTTTTTATCTAACGTAATATATAAGAGATATTTTATACACTCATTAAACTGCTGTTCATCCCTGTTCGTACAAAAGGTTGGCAGACATGGTAGTTTATTTCAGATTAAGCGGTAGGTAAAGTAATTGGCTACAGTACTTTTAAGTCCGCCATTTTGGAGCCCACTGACAGTCTGTGCACAAAAAAACTGTTAAATGTGTCAAGCCTTGGTGAGAGATGTAGATGCGGAAAGAAGGGGAGGAAAGCGAAATATAGAAACAAAGAGGAAGAATGAGTAGGGGGAAATAGGTAGTGCTATGATGGAAGAAGAGTGGGGTGTGGTAGTGATGAAGTGGAATGAGAGGGAGAGAGACGTATACAGAAGTTCCACCCTGTATATACAACGACGATGCACACATTTTTGAGAGCTGACAACCGCGCAAATTTTTTTAGAAGGGGAAAGCTGTCCGCGTCGTCTACTCTTTAGCACGAACGCTTCTTGCGTTACACCCATCTTGTTTGAAGCTGCTGTTAGAGCATCGTGTTGTTTACGTTATTGTTTCTTTGTGTTTTTAGTGCAGGTAGTAATCTTTGCATGTTATATGAAATAAGAAACTCGGACATGTTCTCAAAATTCATTTTTAATTTCTTTAAAAACGTACCGATTTTGATGAAATTTTTATCAGATCTTTTTGAGGCGATTTCGCGTCGGTTCTGAGAATTTGGTACCTGGGGAATTCTCCAGAGCGGCTGGGGAGCGTCGCCGTCGAGGTGCGCGGATAAAAATTCGCCACTCCCATACGGTTGGAGTTAGGACGTGGCCGTTCCGGCCCGGGGGGGTTCCGATAATTGGCGCGACTTTTGGTAAGGTTACGAAAATTTTAGAAAAAAATTCGTAACTCGAAAACGGCACCGGAGCTTTGGTTCGCGCTTTCTGAGAAGTCGGGCGAAGGGAAGGAGCGTCTTTTTGCCGCGGTACGATTAAATATTTAATGGTTTTATAATTCTCAATCTTTGTTTTTGAAATTGTCATGATTTAACCTCAATGCATCACGTGTAGGGAAAATGCCGTTAACGTTTATTGTTTTGCAATAATTTTGGCGTAAATGTTTGCTAAATTTGCGATTTATTACATTTATATTAGACGGCCACAGAGGGATGGAAAAAGTGTAACCACCTTAGTTAAGACACCTAATACCGGGACTGACCTTGACTCTTCAACTGCAGGCTTGAATTCCACTGGACTAAGGGCAAGTTACCTATCTCGGGGGCGACATCCTGTTCACAAAAACTCTCCGGTTTAGGTCTATGTGCGATATATAAGCTGCAATTCACTAATTTCCACATATTCTGTTGGTAACGTTGGAAGGCTATGTAATTTTCCATGTTGGTTATATTTCCGTGTTACTGCAGTGTGGAATTAGAGTGATGACGCGAGAGAAAGGAAGAATAAAGCAGAGGCGAGCGTTGGCAGGATAAGGACATGGATGTATATAGTGATAAAACGGAAGGAAAAAGAGGATAAAACTGATATAAAAGTTGTAACACTGTTGTAAAATGACAGCAATGGATTTTAAAGGTTATGGGTTAATGTACCTCCAGCGGTGTCTCTATATACGCCAACGCTACTTATCATTTGAACGCATTTGAACAGTATGAATTTAGAAATTTCATATCCCCTATTTAAGTGAGTATAATTAACCGTTGATAATTAAATGAGTTGCAGCGAACAGTATCCGATTAACTTGTGAGTGGTCTCAAAAGAAGCACTTTTAATTAATTTGAATGTTAAGACAAATTACAATGAAATAAAGAAGTTTTAATTTGTGAACGTTCTTATCCGAATACACTGTGGTGGAAGGGGAAACCGGCGTTCTGTCCATGAAATAACGCCATTGTTTAGTGGAGATCCTTTTGTCTTGGGTGTTTAACCGAAACGTAAGATCGTAAGATCTATTTTAAGAACAAGAAGGACGAAGAGGAAAGTTCCTATATAACAAAACACAGTTTATTTAAATACACTTTAAAATACGTTTAAAAATAAATGAGCTGCTCTAATTTGAGCGTTTAGCTTGATCGATGATATGTCGTGATATGACAATATGCTGGATTTGGGAGGTGCCCTCGTAAATCTGGTATATCTTCGCATCCCGCATCAATTTCTCGACGGGATACTCTGTATTGAAACCGTTCCCTCCAAATATCTGTACGGCATCGCTGGCATTCTTATTTGCAGTGTCACATGCGTAACATTTGGCAATGGCCGCTTCGTAGGAATTACGCTGACCCAGATCGGCAACCCATGCCGCTTTCTGCCATAAGAGTCGCGACGTTTCGACGCCGATAGCCATATCCGCCAACATAAACGCTATCGCTTGGTGGCTCGCGATTGGTACGCCGAATGTTTTGCGTTCCAGAGCGTACTTCGATGCCTCGTCCAGTGCACGGTGCGCCAATCCAGTGGCACCGGCTGCAATCTACAAATAACGTTGAGTTCTGCGCGTTTTATGCAAGGAAAGCGTGCTACCGGCGGACGCGTCTTGTCAAAAACGCGCATCGCAATTTTAAATCCTTCGCCCTCGCCCAACAGCACGTTCTCCTTCGGCACGCGAACATCTTCGAACGTTATCCCGCGCGTATCCGACGCCCTCTGTCCCATGTTTATCTCCTTACGACCCGGCGTGACACCGTCCCATTCGCGCTCGACTATGAACCCGGTAAACGCCCTGCAGGCGTCTTCGGGTCCGGGTGCGTACGTGCCAAGACGAAGTACCTGCGAACACCCCGGTTACAGTTGAGCCATCTTCGCGAGGCAGTTTTTACCAGTTGGCCACACCGGCGCCGGTAATCCACATCTTTTGACCGTTTAAAATCCATTCGTCGCCCGTTTTTACGGCTCTAGTCTCGAGACTGTTCACGTCAGATCCGGTGCCCGGTTCGGTGATTGCGTACGACTGGAAACGAAGACACATTGTAGATTGTAATATAAGGTAAACGTGACAACGTTGCACGGGTCTCGTACACCGGAACCGAAAAGACAGTCACGACGACGGAAGTCACGTGAATGTACGCGACAAGAGGTAGGTGCAAATTAACCAGTATATAACATGGTGACAGCGATAAAATTAAACTGAAATTGCCGCCCTGTTAGCGATTCGTGTAGAGAAGAAGAAGTGATTTAGATTTTAGTGCTGTGAAGTGCATAATCTCGCGGTTCGGCGATATATACCGACCGTTGTAGTTGTCAAATTGAGTAAGTGTCAACCGTTCAAAAAAAAAAAAAGGAAAACCCCCCTAACTTTATAATGGATGAGGGCCCTGAATTGGATTACAAAACTCAATTGCTTGAGCAGCAAAGACTAATCACGCAATTATTGCAATTGCAATTACGGAACAATAACGCGAGTGACGCGACCGCCAATATATCGCAACATTCGTCATTATCGGTGCCGGTACCGCCGCCATCTGAATTTACGTTTCAAGCTGAAGATTGGAGCGAATGGAAAACGCGAATTTTACGATTCAAACGTATTGCATTGGCGAACTATAGTAGTGAACAGCAAGTGGACTACCTTGTGGGATATGTGGGTGGTAAAGCTGAGAACATTTTGAAATCTTTTCATTTGAGCAACGAGGAACTCAAAGATTTTGAAATTGTCTTTAGCAAATTCGACAATTATTTCGTGTTAAAGAAAAACTTAGTGTACGAACGTGTACGGTTTTTACAACGCGCGCAGAATAACAAAGAATCATGTGATATTTTCATCACAGATTTGACCAATTTAGCACAAACCTGTGAATGGGGTACAATGGAAGCTGAGATGATAAAGCTTCGCATAATTGCTGGACTAGCTGATAACCGACTGTCAGTTCAATTACAAGCCAAGCCGGACGATTCTTTGGAAGAAATCATCAGGAAAATAAGGTTAGCCGAATCATTGAAAAAACAACAGACCGTCATACGAGCAAGTGGCCCAAACCCCGAGACTAGTACATCCGAGCAAATTGATGCAGAGGTAAACTACGTCCACAGGGGTACTAAACCGAAAAATACTCAGCAGAAATACAACAGTAATGCTACAAGAAACTTAGGTAGTGGGAAAACGTTTCAGAAAAACAGAGACAACCCACAACCACAAGAGGAGAAGGAGTGCCGAAAATGTGGATTAAGCCCCCGGCACGCATTTACAGATTGCCCTGCGAGAAACGACTTCTGCAGATCATGTAACAGGAATGGCCATTGGGCAGCAAAATGTCCGTCCCGCAATATGCAGCATCAAACCAACTCAAAAAGTAGATACGAAGCTAAAAAGGTTGCCGCAGTAGAGGTAAAGAACAACTCTGGGGTAAGTGAAGGCGATTTATTCTTTTTGGGATCGATACAAACTCAATGCTGTGAACCCTGGCAAGCTATAGTTAATGTCAGTGGAGTGCCTATAAATTTTAAAATTGATACGGGAGCAGATGTTACAGTATTAAAAGCGGAGTTATTGCCCAAATTTAAACATACACAATTAGACTCTCCCCAGAGACCCTTGTTGTCCGCTTCGGGTGACAAAATTAATGTCAAAGGTACATTTGAAGTAAATATGTTCTATAAAGACAGAATCCACAGCACTGAGGTTTATGTTGTTGAGAACCTACACGCTAACTTGTTAAGTCGCGATGCCATAGAAGCATTGGGGATGCTATCATGGGCAAGCTCGATAACCATTCAAGATAATTTCCCTCAACTGTTCCAAGGAATAGGTGACCTTGGAAAACAGTATACAATTGAGTTGAAACAGGATTCTAAACCATTTTCAATCGCTACCCCGCGAAGAGTAGCGATCCATTTACGCGACGCGGTCAAAGAGAATTTGGAAGCGTTAGAAAAACAGAATATCATCTTTAAGGTCTCTCAACCCACCCGGTGGTGTGCGCCTATGGTGGCCGTTCCGAAAAAGGACGGTAAAGTTCGTATATGTGTGGACTATTCCATGCTAAATAAATGTGTTCTTACGGAAAAGCTCGTTTTACCTGATATAAGTGAAGCATTAGCACAAATAGGTCCCAATGCAAATTTTTTCTCAAAAATAGACGCC